CTCGCGTAGCAATGACAACGTCAATAAATTCGACTCGTGTTCCCGATGCGTGCGCGCTGTCCAATGCGTATTCGATGCGTACGAAGACCGTACTCTTGTCTACCGCGCTCGTCGATGTATACCTACGTACATAAACAAAGGCGATCTACGATCCGATGTATAATCGACACAGGTAGCCAGGCTTCGTTTATAACGGAAGCGTGTATAAATCGTTTAGGTTTAAAACGTCGACATTCGAGTGTACCTGTATTAGGTATTGGTGATAGTAAGCCGGTACACCCTAAGGGCGTTGTTACACTATGCTTATGTCCCACAGGAATGGATCGTTTCGGCGGATTGTTTGAAGCAGGGGTTAAAAGCTTTAAACACCATTTTCATCGTATATTAGGTACGAATACCTTGACGTATGACGAAATGCATACATTGTTGTGCCAAATCGAGGCAGTGTTAAATTCACGTCCACTTTGTGTGTTGAGCGCTGATCCTATCGATCCTCTGCCCTTAACACCATCCCATTTTTTAATCGGAGGACCTCTCACGGCAATTCCGGATGTTTGTCTAACTGATACGAATACCAGTAGGCTAACAAGGTGGCGCTGGATACAGCAGAATGTTCAACACTTCTGGAAGCGTTGGAGTCATGAATATCTTCACGAAATCCAGCAGAATCATAAATGGTTTTCTGATCGTGGTGCTCCAATTCTTGAGGGCAGCATTGCTGTGGTACAAGATGATAATCTCCCTCCATTACAGTGGAGACTCGGTAGAGTTCATGCCTTACATCCGGGTACTGACAATGTTACTCGCGTGGTAACTTTACAATTAGGAAACAAATTTGTTAAGCGTCCGGTCGTGAAAATTTGCCCTCTTCCTCTAGATTAACGTTGAATTACGAATGTCCAACCTAGTTCATAATTTAGAATAGATAAGATTTCATTTAGTAGGTTAGTTAAAATTCATTTTCTTTTCTATTCTTTTATTTTTTTTCTTTCGTGTTTTAGATTTAATTTCGTTAAAAGACTCACGTCTCTTAAGGTGAGCGGCATGTTCCGTACCGGAACCATTTTTCATAATTTGTTTTATTTTTTTTTTTCGTTATCGTTATTTACATTTAAATTGCGAGTGACAACAATGATTAAGTTGATAGGGATTTTCTATTTTTTGGTCTGGTAACAATCCTTTTCAACGCTGAACACCGCGCTCTCCTCTGATTGGCTGAGCGACGTATATACTTGCGCGCCGTACGCCGAAACGTTAACACCTTTGCTTTTGAAAATTACCGTGTGTCTCGCTATTACTACGAGTACGAACAATTCCCGAAGAATACTGTGCCAGCGACCTATGGAAATACTATTCGGAGAGACAGGGTCATATCTTTTCGAGAAACCGAATCGGCCAACCAGTTCCGAGCCCCAGCAGCGTGAGGCAGTGGAAGGCGGAGACCGGTGAGTTACCAGACCCTTAGCTCTTTCCTGAACAATATTTTAATGTCTGTATTCGACAGATTGAAAGTGTTACATGCGCATACTATTAAATTTATGTAAATTCTTATTTAACCCTTACAGGACCATAAGATGTCCAAGACTAAATATGCCGATACAACACAATATTTTAGCTATTGTGGGTATAAAGTAAGAGGATATCTCCAGAAAAACATAGAAGGATGTATAGGTTTCCTATAATTTCATGGGAAATATTTTTCCCTATGGACCATAAAAGTAAATAAATAAAGAGTAAGGTTTATTTTATCGGTATTTTATTTATTGCTTTGTAATACAAAAAACACAGTAAAAATTATCAGAAAAGTAAAATAAATAGTTAGTTATGGTATTCTACGAAACAATTTCGTTTACTTGTGAAGCACAAGTGTTCATTGCACATAACACATTTATTATGTCTCCTATTTTCTATACGTCGTTTTGCACAGTTTACGTATCGCTTCAGTTTATTTCCAATGCGGAGCTTTTCAGAGGAGACTTAAGTGATTCTTGTTTGCTATCTACATGTAAAATATCGGAATACTTGGCGTCGAAATCTCGAGCAATGTCCAGTTCCGGGGTCAATTGGAAAGTAAGACCACATTGGCTTCAAAGAAGGTAGGTTCGCTCAGTAAGGCGAGACATCACATCGGCGCAACGCCTAAACCTTTATAAGGCGCAGATTCGGCCCCACATGGAGTACTGTTGTTACCTCTGGGCGGGAGCCGCCTATTATCAACTTCTTCCATTTGACCGCATCCAACGTAGGGCAGCTTGGGTTATCGACGATCAAAGTCTTTCCGATCGACTTCATACTTTGGTTCTGCGTAGACATGTTGGATCACTCTGCATCTTCTACCACACCTATCACGGGGAGTGTTCCGAAGAATTGTTTGGATTGATTCTGGCGGCTGAATTTCACCATCGGACATAAACCAAAAATTTCATCCACACCACCTCGATTTCCAGCGTTCCTCAACAGCGAGATTTTCAAGGCATTTCCTGCCTCGTACAACCGCTCTGTGGAACCAGCTGCCGCCGGTGTGTCAAAAAGAGAGCATACTCTTTCAGAGATAAATTTTAAATCGTCAAGAGTTCAAAATTACAAACGTTTAAATAACAAGTAAATAAGAGTTTTATCAAAATTCGTCATTTATTATTTCAAATTTATTCTTATGGATTTACTACAGACAATAATACAATTATACACAAATCTTATTTTGAAAAGAAGTCCGTAATCTTTTTTTGAGTGAGTGATTTTATTCAATTTATCGATTATTTTTCATTTTTTTTTTTGGCTGGATGAGCCACTGTTGGCCTTAGGGGCCCTTTACAGTTCCGACGGGCTTGAGGTGGCCTGGTGCACGAGGCGCCTAGCCTGAACCTCGGCGTATTATTATTACGCGTTATGGTGACTAAGCTCGAGGGCTCCCGGGGGAGCCTCGGCTCGGGCCGTCACACTATTATTATGACCGGTTTGGGAGGCCGCCAAGCTCTTAGGGCGCTTTGGCGGGCGCTCCATGGAGTGATCAGGCTCAAGGGTCCCCGAGAGGGGACCTCGGCTTGGGCTGTCACTCAACACGCGTTTAGCATTCCGATTCGAGGGTGCCCGAGAGGGCCGGACCTCGGCTCAATCGGAATTTTTCAAGGGACCAAAAAACATTTCAAATTATTGGGGGATTCAAATTAACAAGTGTCAAATTATCGGTTGTTTATAACTTGGTGTTTCAATTTCAAATCTTCAAAGAACACAATTTTCTGTCGTTTTTTCTACTACCGCACCTTGCCTGACCAAAAAAACGTAATAAAAGCACTCGGTCAAGTTTCACGCTATCGTGTTCCATTGCGCGGAATTATTTTATTTGACGGAAGTAAAAAACAGCTCGTTACACAATAATACAGGAATGTGTAACGAGGTTCCATTCAGCGCTACATTCAGTTGAGTAATTGTTTCACCGGTCTGATAATATCACTTTTGTTCTTAACAACCGATCAACAATGGTTTAATGAGTGATCCGATGTGTTTTGTATTACATTTTCGTTATGACAATGTCACCACAGAGTACGTTGTTCGTATTACGCCCCCAATTTCCAGCTGGACAAATATTGCGATAGACTGTGATGTCTCTCTTTCCGTTCGAATATGACACGGGCGTTTTCGAGGCAAGAGTGAAAAGGATTTCACTGATCTATTTTGTTAACTACCCACAGGCATTTCGACATTTACCATGAGTCATTCAAGAGGTGCCTTATTTCTTAACGAAAATCTCTTACCTATAACGGAAACTGTTGCGGTCAGTAACACATAAGGCAAAGCGACCATTCGTCAATTCAAACGCTAAAATATATTGTACATTATTTCTGTTATAGTGTTATTGTTATGATATATAAAAAAATACTTACATGTATTTTCTCTTACTACGATGTTCGATTTAATTGAAAGGGAGAACTTGGTAATTTCATTGGTGAATTTCTTTGTTGCAAAACATAAATAAAATTTACGGTTGTACAAATAACAATATTTCAAAGCAATGTTATAGTTTGTAACATCATCTACATTATTATTTTCAATTGATTAACTAAATTGCCCCTTAATAAACTAACAATTGTCACTGTCAACCTGCCAGCAGCTAGGGTCGATGAGACAATTTTTTTTGAAGCATCTTACAACTTTATATCCTACTAGCTGCTGCCCGCGACTACGTCTGCGTAAAATAGGCTGAAGGCGTAACATTCAGACAGAAAGACAGATATACATAAAATATGTATATAAATTATAGTCGCTAAATATAATTAAAACGCTGCCAGTATCTTCGGAACCTTTCCTAAAAGGACTCCTTTTAATAATATATTTTAGTTATTACATTATATTTTTTAAGGTTTTTAGTTTTAATTTCATTGTTCTAGTATATATTTTGTATTAGTTTATCATTTGAATGTTATTTAAGTTTGCTTATAGCCTTTTACTAGATATAATTTTTAAGAGTTAATTAGATTTATTCTTCTATATACATGTAATGAATAATTAATATTAAATAACTTCATAATTTACGTAAATTATAGTCTATGTCTTATTCTGATGTATAAGCTATATTATTACAAACTTTCGCGTTTATAATATTAGTAAGGATGAAAACGAGACAATATCAAAGCAAATAAAGACCCATGTACGGTATTTCAGCCCTAAAAATTTTAATGAATTTATTAAAATCATTTTTTAAAAATCACACCGTATTCCAAGTTCTAACAGAATACTAATGCTGTACCAGATGAACATAATTTATCTCATTAACAGTACAATTTTCATTTTAAACCTTTGCCGCCGTCGAAGTGACGAATGGCAGGTGAGAGAGTATGAAACGCTAATAACATCATTCCGTTGCACCCACCGGGCTGTCGCATGCCTTACAAAGTACTAATACTAATATTGGGCTGAACACAAATCTCATTTCAGAGCATCCCGCGCCCACTTAACTAATGCATGCCGCTGATCTCGCCCGCACTGTACACTAACACGCAGCTATGGCCAACCCCATCGACAAACGCTTCCATCAGCTGGTGAGTACTTACTTCATATTACCGCGTCTTTGTTCATTCGCTTACTTGTTCGTCTGTTGTTCTATTCAGACCAAAAACGATTTTATACGAACTTCCCGATAGACTAGTGAGTCGGTAAAATTATGCGTTTTTTGGTCAACTCCTCACTGTACTACTGATATCATTTTTCTTCATTAACGATGACCTAACATTTTCTCTGAATAATTATGGTTGTATTCTAAGGGTTCCGTACCCAAAGGGGAAAAGTGGACCCTACTACTAAAACTCCGCAGTCTATCTGTCAGACAGACAGTTGAAATTTTCACAGATAATGTATTTCTGCTGCCGCTTTAACAAAAAATACTAAAAAACAGAATAAAAAGGACTCTCATACAACATACATGGTTTTTTTTCTTGTCGTTTATAGATAATGGTACGGAACCGTTCGTGCGTGAGTCCGACTCGCATTTGGCCAATTTTTTGTAACTTGAGGCTAATTTATATAAATTTAAGTTTTAAGAAACTTCATTATTTGTGATAATACATTATTATCTAGTCTATTAGTACTGACTAATCGTTGGTTTCCCCGTGCGAAGTAGTGCCTTCCTACCTAGTCCTTAATATGAACAATTCGTCATTCAAGAACACTGTTAATTTGCGAACGGCAATTATAGTAAACACGTGCACTTTTATTGGATGCCCTTGCATATTCCTGGCGTTCTAGTATTTTCCTAATTACTCATTCATGTAAGCACAGTGGTTTAATTGAATAATTTAATATACTGCTGTTGAGATTGCATATCTCCCTATCTACTAATCTGTTATATCATAACGGAAATGATAACACCAAATAGGTTTTTAAATCCATAATCTGACATCTCTCAGCTATACATGCGAGTTGTCATCAAGACTTTTTAGCGTATTTTATTTTTTAATATTTGTCTGTAATGCTTAATGTAAAAATTTATTCAATTAGTAGTTTTTTCAGTGGCATGAATGTGCCAACTATTAGTAATTTGTACCACAGCCTCAAAGAAGACCGATGTAATATTCGCTTTACCTGTGGAGTGAGGTAACATGTACCTTCCTTATAGAGCTCACGTGCAATGTAGGTACCGCTATGGTGTTGCAAGGTGTCCATTGTGTTATAGAAAGGGTCGAAACGAACAGTCCCTTGCTCACTTGGTTCTTCCATAAATTAAACCGTAACTTTTTTTAATGTTAAATAATAACCGCCGCCCATGGACATTTGCAACACCCCTAGGGTTGCAGATGGTTTTAATAAAGTGGGCCCCGGCTATCCCACTCACCAGACAAAACGCAGAAGTGTAACATTTCTATTCTATTTCACGTCGGTTTTATGTGAGGTCGTGGTACTTACCCGGACGGACCTGCCCATTCGTGCAACAGCGAAGACTGATGCTTGCCCCTACCAGAGTTAATATCTTGAAATGCAGTCCTTTCTGTATATATCCAGTTTTAAATGAAATCTCAGCTGGCGTAGACATACGAGTGTGCTTGTTTATGATTGCGATTTTAGGATTAAACCATTATTATACGTTTAATATAATCAAATATTGTATTTTAACGTATTAATAAAATATTTTACTTTATTTAATACGTTAAATACAATATTTATTCCTATTAAATGTATCAACAGATGTAACCTTAAATACACTTAGGACGCACAAATCTATTATTAGTGCATGATGGCACAAGCTACGGATTTAGACGCTTCCTTCCGATGCAAATGAATAATAACAATTGCATTTTCGTGTGCCTTCTCAAAATAAGTAAAAAAATATAATGAAGTTTCAAAGTCGCAGAATTCGGAAATTTCTGTGCCACAATAGTTTAATATTTTAAACTAAATCTTATACAAATTATATTTATTCAATAATTCAATTAATTTCTTATTATATAATTATTTTTGCGAACAAGTTCAGAGTTCGGTTTTTACAATTATAACAACCTTTATTTCATTGCATTTATTTCTCCTTATGCAATAACAAACAATACTTGTTTATCTAGATATGATTGTGTGTTGCGCGTTTTTGTTACTTAGATGGTGATTTGTACTTTTTTGACATGTCATGACGTATAATTGCTGAAGATGGGTTACTTATTTATAATATGTTAGTTTATAGATGGAGAAATATTAGTGGCAAGAATTTTCATGATTAAATACGTAGCTAATTTTCTCTATCATATAATAATCTAAAGGTTTTGTACATAATATATAATATGTGATAATATTTATTAATATATTTCTTCTTATCTCGTTATACAACCTTCGTTGTTAGTCTTTAGTACGATATAATCGAATGCACTTATATATAAGTGACTTGTAAACGTTAAATGTACAAATTATAATCATACTCAGTGTGTTGACTGAATGATTCATCAGTAATCTATTTGTATCTCTATATTGGATGCATCTTGCGAGTTAAGAATTCACTTATTGTTCGATCGGGTTTCAATAAATTTTTACATCTATCAAAATGTGTGCTAGATAAAATATGAGTTACTTATAACAGAAACAAAACTAAATGTATCAGAAACAGTATTAGGCGACAACTAAGACGATCTGTGCTTACAGGATAATCCGATGACCCGCCTTCGTTCCCCGTTTGGGAGCAATACAATACGCCATCTATTTAAATTCACAAGAGGTATTTGTAACAGTAAAGTTATCTCTACCAGTGGCAGAACTTAGAACGAACATTATTGTTCTTAGGGTACTCTAGTAATAATAAAAATATTATTACAAAAAGGGAATCTCAGTATGTTCCATATTATGTAATTTGTGTAGATGTGTTGTTGTAGTGTTGAAGTCCATGGACAACAAAACTGTGGAGTTACAGATGCGTTGTTAATCTTTGAAAGAGTAGGTAGGATCCGGTTAACTCGTTCACCAAACGAAACGAAAATGCATAAATATCGTGCTCTACGGATGTCTCGTCCGTCTTTAATTTTTTTTACGTTATTAAGAATGCCGTAAGCAATGAAGTGCGGTATGTTTAGTTATGAAAAAATTCTCTTGATCATTGATTGGTAGACTAGAATATATTAGATGCCGCTCTGTGTGTACTTATTATCAAATACTTTGAAAAAAATCGATTAGATTTACTCATTATAATTGAAAGTACTTTACTGATAAGAATTAAATAGAAAACAGGTAAATATGTGTGGAATACCGAAAGAATTTCCATTAAAAAAAACTATGAAAGTAATTTGCTGATAAGAATTAATTAGAGACAGGAAAATATATGTGTGGAATACCAAAAGAATTTCCATAATTAAAACAATTGCCAAAAAAATTAAACTTTTTAGTCTATAATTTAAAAACATTGTTTGTTTGTTTGTTTGTATATTCTTTATTGTACTAGAAGTTTGTACAAAGGCGAACTTAATGCTAAATAGCATTTTCTTCCAGCTAACCTTTGGTGGTTGAGTACAAGTTACGGGTAAAAGATTTTTAGTGTCTATCATAAAGAATATGGCAAAACTAAATATACTTCATAACATTGTTTTATTTGTTAGCCTACTTTTTGTTTTAACAAATACGATGGGCCAACATCTCTATCCTAGCGCATTCATTAAACTGTTCGGCAAATTTCTATCAATTTTTACAGTTCAAGCGTGTAGCTTTTAATAAAAACAGCAATAGTCCGATGAAACGAGCGATTTTTATTAAATTGCAATGTTCCGTACGAGATTGGAAACTAGATTTGGTATGCTTGTTGTAAACTACAATCGGTAGGTGGCCGTTTTTATAAAGAGGTTAATGAACCGTAAGACTATTACACAGAAGGAGTCTACGTCACAAGCCGTCTTCATTACGCGTTACGTTTAAGCGGTTAACTCGTCGTAATCTTTGTTTTTGTTTCTAATATAGAAGATGATAAAGGAGCGGGCGATTCGCCAGATGTTAGGTCACTACACCCGTCTATGGACACACCCATAACAACCGCAACTATGATATTCACCGTGCTATGCGATTGCGATCATTTTAAAGAATGGTTTACCTCACAGGCCTGACCAAAAGTTAAATGTTGTATACTTCCATGATGTGTTTTCTTGAACGATTTGACCCATTCATACTTACTATAATTGGTTATATTTCGCGATGATGAAAATAAAAAATAGCATAAGTTGCTATGTGACTATAATATGTTCTAAAATAAGAAGAAAAAAAAATTATATTTTAAATGATTGATTGATTTGAACGATTGGGTTTTAGAAGCATAAGAGTTAACGCTTTGGTGTTCTGGAGACAAACGGATCGTTCCCGTATGGAGAACTGTTCAAAAAATAAATACTTCTCACCTGGGTTCTTATAGTTATTGTTGTATTAGTTCGCACTACATGAAAAATAATAAATTATTTATTCATGTAGTGCGAAAAGTGGACTACCATTAATATTTTACTAAATAACAGATTTAAACATAAAAAGTTAATAGGATTCGGAGAGTCAATTATTAAATAATTATCTTGAAGTAAGTAAGTAAAAAAGGCGTCCAATTTCAATGAAATATACTTATCCAATATGGAATGGGTTTTGTGGATCTTAAAAATTTTGTCTTAAAATCATACTGGCTTTCTCAATAAAATTATGTACGTAGATCAAGATAAGATTTTTGTTAAAAGCTCTTACTGCGTACACACATTGCCATAAATATCGGGACAGCTCCACGCGAAGCGAGCACGCGTCTTGCTCATTTGCATTGTTGTTAATTCTAAAAATATGCATGTATACGTTACGATGCCGTTGGTACACAGACACGGTCCTGATGAGACACAATAATTGTAAACAGTGCACGTGTTAGGCACGTTCCAGAACTTTCGTATTTTGAATTTTCGTTTCCAAAACTTTCGCTGTTAGAAGTGTTGACAGGTTTCGTTTTATGTTTTGTTTGTATGGCGTTATTTTTCTCTATAAATTGAACATCCTTTTTAAAAAAATCAATATTAACTACATAGATATAAGAAAGAAGGGATAGAACACGATGTCAATGCTG